GTGTGTGTGTGTATGTGTGTGTGGGGGGGAAGGTGTGTAAGTGTTAGTCGTGTGGGGATGCCCCCTCACGGGGGCGTACGTGTCTTTTGGTGTATTTGTCTGTCTGGTATATTGTTTGTCGGGGGTCGCAATTTTAAAGAAATGTATTCTAAAGTAATGCAAATAACTGATAAATAAGTAAAAACTTACCTGGGCATAACCCCGGCACAGGTGCTGTAACAAAGATGCCGACGGCGTCTATGCTTAAGCCGGGGATTAGGTCGGTGATTAAAAGGAAAGAAAGGGATTCTTTCCAGGTAGCCTTAATAAAGGCAGGTAGAATTTGCTCCTTGCACTACACTTTCACAAAACACGTGTGCTCTGGTCGGCTGCCCGCTAGGAACTGGAATACGGACCGTGACTCGGACCACTCTGGTCACTGCTGCAAATTCAGAAGCCAGTTGTCTGGGTCTGGGATATTTCAATATTTTCAATAATCGACTATTCGAGCTATACCACAGAATATTCTGTGCCTAACTAAACCCTGGCACAAAGCATTTCGTTTCCCACAGCATATAAATTTGTTATGCCCTAACCCTACCAAAATTGTTACCAATTTGAACTTTGCCCTTTGCTCATATTTCTGTCATTTTTGTCCAGATTCGATGTAATTAAGTAATAAAATTATTTGTACATATTTTATCAGAATTTATGGAAATAATTTACTTAACTGTCAATCGCAGTTCTACATTTGAAAATTTTATATATATAGGTATATTTGGTTTGCAAAACGACAGGCCTCCCAGGAAAATGACAAATCGATTACGTCACCAGTGGTTGAAAATGGTGTTGGTCGTCGGGCGTAGTAAAATAGATATTTTCTAAAAAGCCGGGCTTTGTTTTGTCTAATAATTTCTTAAAACCATAACAGTTTTATAGTTCATTACAAGATTACAAGAAACATTTACTTAAGGTACGTTATATTTTAATACAGAAAAATAACGGGAATATATTTTGATATTTGCATCATTTTGCTTTTGGAAAAATAAAAAATTACTTATTTAAAATTAAATTTGACTGATTTCACATTGTTTTTTAAATGTTTGAGTCAATCAAACCTAAAATGCCGCAGTCGCGGATAACTGTCCGGAGTCAACTCCACACCATTGATTTTTCACCACCAATGATTTCATAAAACGCATGTGTAGAATTTAATTTGTTTTTTCGTGTGATTCATTGGAATCGACTTAAAGTGCTACGAAAAATATGGATATAATTTTAGATAAACCCAAACCAAGAATGTCTGACAGAAGAGCTGAATTAGAACGTAAGAAAGCAAAATTGCAAGCATTAAGAGAAGAAAAAGATCGTCGGAGACGTGAAAAGGAGCTTAAAGATGTCGAAGAGGCTGCTAATCGAACAATCATGGGTGGAGGTGGGGACAGAAAAGAACTGGACGAATTGATGAGGGAAGTTGGAGTTACTCCAGTGTCTGATGTTTTATCCAGTATTTCTAGTGCTAATTCCCTCACCCCCGAGCAAAGCAGAAATCATACGCCCGACACCTCACTTCAACCCAGTAGCTTACCAAATAAGTAAGTAAAGAAATCTATGTTACTGCCGTTTGAATAAAATGTGCCAATGGAATGAATGTGATTAACTGCTTAAATGTCTTTGTTAAAAAAATTCAAAATAAAATTAACAATTTCAAATATGAAAAGATGTTCAAGGAGAATCATATGTATATGGTATCTTATAAGAATGTGAATTGCATATTAATTATTTTGAATTTGAATATTCTTAAAATAATTATCTCCAAATATGTATAGTTACATATGAAAAAAATTAAGTTATGCTACAAATAAAAATACAGAAATGTACAAAGCAGTCCAAAAACGTTTAAGTGTGTTTTTAAATAGTCTTAACATCTTGAAATGTAAAATGCTCTTAATTGCATTTAAAAGCATATAAAAATTGCATACATTTTTTCACCGTGAGAGAAATAAAACAATTCATATTTTTTCAGCGTCATTGCTGTCAAGAAGAAAGTACCGCAATTGAGCGTCGTAGCAGTCCAAAGTACTAATATACCCCCAAAAGAAATTGTGGTATACACTAAACAGACACAAACTGCTAACACAGGACATGATGTCAGGGACGGTAAGTTAACACTGATATTAAATTATATAAAGCTTCTTTTTTTATGTGAAGAGTTGAAACTAAACATTTCTGTAAAGGGTGTTATTTTAAACAATCGGTATTCATAAATTATCTCAGGATCAGTCGTGGAAGCTGAAATAGTGTGTAAAACAGATCCACGAATTCTGTGAAAATAAATAGTTTAATTAGGTACTGAAAAGGTATATTTTCTCAACTGGGTGTTATACAGTATACAGTATAGAGTATACAGTAGAGTAGGGTTATAACATCATTCAAATAACAAATAAGGGTCGAATCTGTTCGCATTGAAAGACATAAAATTCCACTCTCTTTATTTCTTTTACTTGGTAAATAAGGTGTGATTTGAAAGCAATACTTTCTTAAATAGAGCACTCTGTAAATCTTTACATTGTTGGAAAGGGTTGCAGTGTTTCGTAAGTAAATCACTAATAGTAATACATTGGACTAATACTTCATTCCTTGGAAACTAACAATGATCTCTTTCTATTATAATACATGTAACACTTTTGGAGATATCTTCGTTACAATTAGATATATGAGGTTTGATAAAAATGTAACGGGAATTGTTAATTTTCTCAGAAAGTATTTATTTAATCTTCAAGCGTGGCAGTTGCCTAAAAATTGACATGTATGTCACTGACAGTGCTACCAATACCCAGAAAAAGGATCAACTCGATAGACAAGATACTACACATGCAATTTTAAAAGTCCCATTATTTTTTGATCAAACCTCGTCTAATAACTATCTAACCTATATCACTGTTATTTCATTTGAAAAGATCAGAAATTTGGTTTATTTCTTCGAAATGTAGCGTTCGATTATTTTTGTAAATATTACTCCACACCATTTTCTAAGTATAAATTTTTAAAAAAGTTAGTTTTTATTCATATCTTGTAATATATATACGACTACGGTCAGTTATTCAAAGTAACCAAACTCCACTATATGAAAATATACTATACTATCTTTTATTTACAATAACTATTGTACAGGGTGTAACTAACACGTTTGACCAAATTTGAATGATGGATTCTATGTCAAATACAAAAAAAGCTACTTTAAACTTGTCTGGAAACCTTTTTAGTATTAGGTATTATTGGATTTGTTGATGTAGGTCAATGTTGAAGTGTCACATAGTTCACAAACTAGTTGTTCCCCACAATATCATTGGTTGAAAAAGTCTATTTCACCTAGTTGTTGCGGTTACAGTTTATTTGTTGATGAACCTAACTGAGATATTTGCTTAATTATTTGGGTAATGTTTATATTAAAAGACTTTATACGGTGTGTGGCAGAAACAAACCCACAAACTTGAAATGCAGATGAAACTCAGGAAAAATTCCCAATTCCAAAAAATTGAAATGTTATATAACATCTGTAATGTCAATTTATGAATTCGATTTGTCCTTAAAGTGTGTTGGTTACTTTTTGTTACACCCCGTATAAATTTTCCCAGATCTTAAAAAATATCTGCTACCATCTTTAGAAAATATACATTTTCAAAAAAGTCTTGTTTTCGAACTTGATAACATTGTTACTAGAAATGTGACGTTTGACACCTTATGTAGACAATGTTAAACTTGTTTCAATTTTTTTCCTTACTAATCGAGCATGTTGGCAATTTATTTGACAAATTATGTATAATTTTCTATTTAGCTACATGGAAGGAAACACAGAAATAAATTTATTAATTTCTCATAGCTGTTCAATTGGTGGCTCAAATTTTTCTTTGCATTTATAATTTTCTGTTTTTTTTTATATTTTTGTATTGTTTATCTTTGTTTTGGCATTTGGATTTCTTGGCTTTCTCTCCTGCTAGCATATATGTATTTCTGTGCTTGACAAATGTTTTAAAAACTGACTACAAATGTTCATATTTTGATGCTGCAAAAGATTATTTTGGATATTGGAAAAAGTCCTGTGAGTATGTTACGGTTTTTATTTCATTTTTCAAGCTGTTCTAAATTTTGTGACTTACACTAATTTTAGTTAGGTACATGACAGTACTAATATGCAAATATTCTCTTTAAAAGGCCACTCAAACTTTGTTTTTATGCAAATTGGTTTTATTGTATTTCACTGAAAATAATTAACTATAAACAGTATACATATTAGGTCCTTAATATTTTTATTCTTTTTTAAAATATATTAAATCTAAGGGTAACAATGTTAAACTCATAATTTTATATTTTCTTTTATTCACGTTCTGCGCCTCATTAAAAATGCTACGCTTTGTTAACTCTGAGGGATTTTGTTAATAAAAAAAAAGACAGTATTATTACAAGAAGAGCCACTTTTCAAGTATAATTTATATGTTCTTTTACTTTACACAGTCCAGCTATTAAGTTTTAAGACCGATTTTATTGTGACCGCTATCTATGTGCGGTCAATGGAACTACGTAGTGGGAAGCCTTCTGAGCGACCGAACAAAATTTCATCAGTATACGTGTATCTACCACGAAGTTATCATGTCTTTCGTGAAATGAGTTTTTTTAATAGTTGTCATGGAAACACACATCGAACAGTGTACAACGATCAAGTTCTGTTTTAAAGCCAGTAAAATAGTCATGGAAACGTATCAACTGTTACAAACGGTGTACGGTGAGGAATGTTTATCACTTCCCACTGTGTTCTTATGGTTCGGGAGGTTTTTGTGATTGGCGGGACATTCTGATGGTTGATTCGATGTTTCTGTTCGTTCGGCTTGTGCGTGGTCCTTCTGTCGTCGTGCACGCCATCACGAAACCTACCAAGCCACAGGAATGCAGCAGGATATGATCCTCACCGTACGCTGTTTGTAACAGTTTTACGTTTCCGTATCTGTTTTAGTTTTTATAACAGAACTTGATTACTATGTGCTGTTCAATGTCCGTTTCCATGGCAACTATCAAAAACCTTGCTTTACGCAAAACCTTATAACTTCGTGGTAGATACACGTATACTGAGGAAATTTTTTTCGGTCGTTCGGAAAGCTTCCCACTACATAGTTCTCTTGGCCGCACATAGATCACACCACGCACTTCGCCACAACAAAATCAGTCTTAAAACTTAATAGCCGGACTGTGTATAACCCAGTTTTGAAATAAATAATTTCTCTAACGCACAATGCATCTCAAAGTTCTGTTGCAGTAGATAAAATTTTTTATCTTTTGCTTTTTGACTTTGGCCTCAACGAAATTAAACTGTTTCTTTATTAATTATACATGTTTTTTAAAATATTATTAATCTAACTGGAATTTAGGCCTCTGGCTAAATAAACACACATATTGGGCTTGGTGATGTACCTAATTATTGAAAATATTTGGAAAAAAATAGTAAAGCATATACAGGGTGTTCCACCTAAGAGGGATTCTTCTGTAACTCTGCAACTGTAAAATTTATAAAGAAATGGTTTTAATAAAAGTTGCCTGGAATAATATGTGGGCCATGTAAAGGAAATATTTTTAGCACTACTGGATGTTTTCATTCCGTGTGGGCTTTACATAACTTTGTTATTTTAAATGGAACACCCTGTATATTATTGCATTTTTGAATTCCTTGGTTAATATTAGGTAGAGTTTATTCAATGTACATGGTGTTTAAAACTTACCGTTTTCGAGATAAACAGTTGTTTTTGAAAAAAATCACAATTTCAACTCTAAATGAGACTAGATAGCGTCTAAACTGTAAGAGTTAGAGGCCTGTAGTTTTCACAGTTCGTTTTGGCATAAATTACTCTATCTTGCCATCTGTGAGCAAAACGTGTACGTTATTCAGACTCGGAAATACTGAGACCTACATTTAATAATTTTAGGAATTGAAAAACTTTTTTTTTTCAAATGGAATGACCCATATTAATTATCATGGGTGAATGCAAAACTGAATGCCCTTTCGACTGATATAAGGTTGTCCATACTTATCTTTAACAGTTTTCCAGAAAAATTGGGTTCTTTTCTAAAGTCCGAAAAAGTAGCTATGTAACAGCGTCAAGAAGACCTCGCAAACCTACTTTCCCTCACATTTTATGAGTCCTGTGACTGACAGTGACAATATTTACTGGCATGTTTAAAAAGTGGTTTGACAAACAAAATAAACCACTAACAACTAAAACAAACGCAACATTTACATCAATTGCTCGAAGTGTCCATTTTGATTAATACACAAACAAATTCGTTTTTAAAAGACTGTTCAACATTGGTCAGCATGTCTGTGTCGTAATTTCTTGAAATACTACTGTAATGCACTGCCACATATCTTCCGTGGTAGGTGGTGGTGTAACGTAAACTTTGCTTTTTTAAATCCCCAAAAAAGAAGTCGCAACTTCTGCAGAGGTATTGTGAGGTGAAGCACTATCATGTTGCATCCACATTCTTCGAAGTGTAGCTAAAGGAATGTCGCCATTTGCAAGGCCTTCTTGACGCTGTTACATAACTACTTTTTCGGACTTTAGAAAATAATCTGATTTTTCTGGAAAACTGTTGAAGTATGGACAACCTTATATCAGTCGAAAGGGCATTCAATTTTGAATTCACCCAGAACAATTAATATGGATCATTCCATTTGAAAAAAAATGTTTTTCAACTTGTAAGTTTATTAAATGTAGGTCTCAGTATTTCCGAGTCTGAATAACGTACATGTTTTGCTCACAGATGATGACAAGATAGAGTAATTTATGTGAAAGCGAACTGTGAAAACTGCAGGTTTCTAACTCTTACGGTTTAGACGCTATCTAGCCTCATTTAGAGAGCTGAAATTGTGATTTTTTTTTTTTTTAAATACAACTGATTATCTCGAAAGCGGTAAGTTTTAAACACCATGTACATTTAATAAACTCTACCTAATAGTAACCAAGGAATTCAAAAACGCAATAATATACAGGGTGTTCCATTTAAAATAACAAAGTTACCCACCCCCTCTAAAGAACACCCTCTAAAGCTAAAAATGATTCCAGACAACATTTATTAAAGCCATTTTTTTATAAATTCTACAGTTACAGAGTTACAGAAGAATCCCCCTCAGGTGGAACACCCTGTATATTTGCTAAAGGTAAATCACCAATTACAGTGAAAGCAAATTTCTATATAGTTTGCATTCTCAGCCTTGCGGCGTCAGATCATAATAAGTAGTTTGGAACGTACTCTTTCTTTTTTAATTTATGAAATCTAAGAACTCTTTTTTGTGCCCCTTTTTGGAACTACTTAAGTGTGTAGACGGTAATTTTGTTCTGAATAAATGTATCATAAAAAAGATTTCTTCTGTAGGAAAAAATTATATTTTTTAAATAATAATAGATAAATGCAATACAGTCATGAGTTGTTTTTTTTTGCAAACTTGTACATTTTAAGAATTACGATTTGTTATTAGACTTAAGTGACAAATTGATTATATTGCAAATGCTAACAAGGATCTTCATGTTCTTCTTCTCCTCTTAAAGGCTACATGGAGGACTGGTGGAGGCCCAGAAAAGGTAGAGTCTGCATGATTCAATATTAGTACACTATATGTATAATTTAATTGCACTGCGGCTGTACGGCACCTGATTTGTTCCTAAATTATGCTGAACTTTAATGTTTGTTACATAATAATATTAATAATAAATTAATTTAGAACATTTACCATTAATCTTTTTGTTACGGTTGTTGTAAGAAAAAAGAAAATCGGAAATATATTCTTTTTTCAACTATTCACTTAAATCTGTATATACTGTAATGTATGTGCTTTGCTTTTTATTTCATGATGTTCGGGGAATAGGATGTTGCTCGTAAGCTCATTCGAATGCTTAAAGAAATTCCAAATAAACTCGAATAAGCAGAAAACGTAATTTCATATTTTTTGTAAAGGATCTTCAGGGGGTGTTCGGATTTATAGCAATACAAGCCGTTAATAAAATAAATCAAGCTCATATACATTTGAAATGGGGTTATATTTATATGGAGGCTACTTTTGGCCTTTGGAAACACATATAAGTGTGTTTTGTCAAATTCCGTCAAGAAACGTTTTTATTTTCTCAATTTTTATACTCCATTTTTGGGCAGGCTAGCGTAACCTCAAATAACCGCGTGCGCCAGTCGCGAGCACGTGCCTAGTTGAGAGCTGTGGCATGCGTCCTTTTCAAATCTCGTCTTTCTTGATTAGTATGAGTTATTTCATAATTTTACATTGAAATTTAACGATAATGGCACAGAAACCCACCGTGCTGACATTAAACACTGAACACTTACTAGACGAGTCACTTCACTAAATACCACTTTAAAAGACTGCTCTAGACAAATTCTATTTCAATTCCAGTAAAAACTAAAATTGCTTATCATGTACAAATGCCTTATAAACCAATAAACTGAGCTAAAATAAATTTAATCAAATAAAAGGGTGACATATTCAGCTATTTTGGTTTTGTCATATTAAAGTTGGCTATTTGTCTTTTGCCCGCCTAGAACCCTGTGGTTATATTGAATCAGGTGTATTATAGTATTCACCTAAATTAGAAGTTAATGTGGAGGTTATGTATAATTCACAAACTAAACAGAGTGCTTTAAAAAAATAAGAACTTATTAAAAACTTGAAATGGTTTTAAAAAAAATTTAAATCTGTCAGGTTAGTAATGTTTTTATTATTTATTGTGTACTTTAATAAAAACAGCTATTTCAAAATATAAATTAGTTTTATCCAACACTTGTATATAGTGATACTATAATTTCTTTGGTTTTAAAGGATTAATATGGCCTATAAGTCACTAGTGAATTATCAGTCATAAGTCACTTGGAAGTTATGACTTATAACCCACTAGTAACTTATAGAAATCATAAAAAGACAAATGTTTGGTTTATTTTTCTAGTTTTTATCAGAAAAACAATTTAAAACAGTGACAAGTCAACAAATAACCTAAAATGCTACAAACTTACAATCTACCTACTTATTAATATTAACATTAACATTTATGGTAAAGCCGTAATTTGATGCCAAAGGATTATTCGAATCATTTTGTGATTGTGGTAAATTTATAGAACAGATTGTCCCTTTGCTTGTGCTTGCTTCAGGAGTCTGCACCCCTTGTATCTTTTTAGCAATATCAATTTTGCTGGAAATTGACTCTTCTATATAACCTTCTGCCACGGTAGATGACTTCCATTCACCGTGGCGTTTGAGTGTTGTAATATCCCCTCCAGCATTGGCCAAGAGAGTTGCAGATGCGCGACGCAAGCCATGCCCTGTATATAAATTAGAACCTGTCAAGCCCAAAAATCGTGCAACAACATTAGGGATTTTTGATAGCTTATTAATTTACCAACAGTTAAAATATAACTTAGTTAAACTATTCAGTAGAACCTACCTTATTCATAAGATGATCTTTGTCTAGGGCTTCGCGCAAAAATTGTTCAATTTGTTCTTTTTCTAAGACCTTGGATTTTTTTGGTTGAAAATGTTTGTGCTTAGACTTTAGAAATCCCACTAGTCTTTCGAATTTAGAAATTTCTGTTTTTGTAAACTCTCAAAGTTGACTTCAACATGGAATATTTAGTCCACAATGTGGATGGAGCTAATTTCTTACTTAAATTGAAAAAATAAGCCAGCAAGAAAATTCCTTCAGTTCTTTGTTGTATATAGATTTTGATTTCTCTGGAATGATGCCTGCAGTAGCCGTATTAGCTTTTTCTAAAATTTCAGATGGAATTTCCACATTATCCATTTTTTCAGTCTTGATTTTAGCATTTCAACGTGATTTCAACTAAAAAATATTTATTTATTGACAACCCTTGGTTACAAACACAATTTAGGTTGACACTCATATCTTTTGTAATATTTAAAAATACATTCATTTCGTTAAATTACTTTTCCTGACATTGACAACTTGAAATTTTAAGTTACTTTTATTTATTATTATAACTAAATTCTATGAAAGTGTTGGATAAAATTTTGTATGGCACTCGTGTGTTACGTCATATAAGACTCGGGAAAATTTCCCAGAGTGACATATATACCGTAACACACTATAACTATTATTTATATTTAGTAACGTGTGCCCATTAACATGTCAATATTAGTTAATATTTTAAATCAAGCAAAAAATAGAAATTTTTTAAAAACACTAAAATTTTTTATTTTTTTTTAATGTTTCATGCTTTGTCTACATTAGGTAGTATTAAAAAAATATGGTGACTTTAAAATAACATGTTGCAAAATAATACAAAAAACGCTATTTTGAAAACTATAATTTCAAAAAATTTGCTATAACTTTTTTAGGGGCCATTTTTTTAAAAAATGTATTAGAACTTTTTTATCTGAAATCTAACAATGCCATACTATTCTGTACCTCTTCAATGGACCTAAGAACCGAAAATACCGAAGTGCAAATTTCCCTTTTTTCAATATTAATTGAGAAAAAATTATATCTAGAAATTTACTAGAAATGTGAAATTTCAGTTTTCTGTTTAAGTTCCATAATGACCTACATTTAGTGTTACAAACTGTATATAGAATCATGTGCACCAATTTTGAGCCTCTATTAGAATACCCGGAAACTTGCTAATTGTGCTTATTACTAGTAGTGGGTTCTGTGTACCTGGTAAAGTTTAGCAAACTAATTATTAAAATTTACATATTTAATGTGTAAAATAAATTTATTAATGTAGTTTCCTTTCATTTTAAAATGTATCTTTTAATATTGCAAACCAATAGTAATATAAATTTAAAAAAATGATAAATTTTGTTTCTAGTTTTTTTATTTACATGTTTCCCTGCTTTGTGTATTTAAAACACTGTATTACATAGTTTGATGGTTGATCTAAGAATATAAAGTATTTTCATTATTATATTTCTGGTTATATTGGGAGTTGGGCTCAATTCGTAGGCATTGACTGTTACAAAAAAAAAGTGACGAAGTAATTACCAGTGGTTCATTCTGGAAAACTTCTGCTTATGAAGGATTATGTCAATTTCCAATATAAATAGAATATCTGAACTCCTAGGATATGCCCAATTGTTGTTTGCAATATTATAAATTTAGCACACACCAGATTAGATGAACGCATGAGTCTATGTTGCTGCTTGCATTTTTTCATACGAGTATTGTTTCAGCTAAATGTATAGAAATAATTTTATACGATAAACATACACACTTCACAAATTAAAGTTAGTGCGTTTATATTTTCTGCAGTAAAAGGTTCAAGAAGCCTCTAATAGATTTTTTCTAAATAGGAAATCAATCGATCAAAAGTAACTAAAAAAACTATGTGTATGAGGTATCAAAGGGGTTGATGTTCAATATTTTTTTAATGTAGTTGATCATATCTGTCATTCTAAATATTTAATAGCTCTTGAAAGTGACTGATATGATTCTGTTGAATTATGCTACTGTAATCAAGGCCAAGTAACGAAATTTTAGATACTTAATAATAAATATTTTTACATTTATCTTATAATTTTTTTTCTAAGTTTTATCAACATGGTAAATTATTATTTCAATCTATTTTAATATACTTTTTTTATCCTTTATTCCTAGCACATGCCACTGATTACTACGGTAAGTTAAACATTCATATTTTTGTTTGCTTCTAGCAATATTCCATATCCGTATCCTTTGCAGAAAATGTTTATTAAGATTATTTATATCCTATTTGGTATTAGTAAGTTTTCTTACTTTTCTATTCCTAATGTATGAGAAAACTATAGTGCTCACACCGTGTACAGCTTTAGAACACACTTGAAACTTGTTTTTTTTTTGGGGACGGGTGCATATGTACTATTGGCTTTTTGTAATGTTGCTTTGTTGTTTGATTGAATAGACCAGGTTACTATGAAAATATTCATGTGTTCTATTAATGTATGATTTTATGCTAACTATAATACTATTAAATTACTAATATTTTTCTATTAATAGCATGAGTAATTAACACTACTTAGAAAACTGGTTAAAAATGTTCTAGGCTAAATAAATTAAATATACACACCTGATTAAAAAAAAGTGTGAACCATTTATTTTTATTTAAACTTTGCTCTTTGTGCAATGAATTGATTGAAGGTATAAAATAGTTTCTTGAATTTGAACATGGCTAGTTAAGATTTTCTTCTATTATAGGTTTTTCGGTAAAAGCTATAGTCAAATGGAATATATTTTTAACCAGTTGTTGTCTAGGAAAAAATGTAATTGGAACAAATGTTTTCAGTCATACACAGTCGTTTAATTTTGTTCTAAATTTGAAAAAAATTTAAGCCATCAAAAATGTAGATTCATAATATTGTCTAATATCTATCCCTAATATTTGATTGTTCTTTCCCTTTACAAGATGAGTACAATCTTAATCCTGGTTTAGAATGGGAGGATGAGTTCACAGGTAGGTTTGTGCTTCAGGCTATATTTTTTCTACATCGGGTTATTTTTTACCGTAACCACTGCACCGTGATATGGAATGACACTGCGGAAGTAGCCCTAGTTAAGAACTGTTTTTTTACTTTACTAATACATTGAAGTTGTAGTGGGTTTCCTCTAATTTCATTTCATTAATCACATTTCAAACTCAAAATCAGGTTTAAACTTTTGTTGTATGTGTAAATTAATTTTCCATAAAATGCACAAAGATTTCTAATTTATTTTCATCACAGTATCTATATAATTAATTTGTGAATTTGTATCAGATGTTGTTGATTATGAAACATGAGTCTTTCTAACTAAAGGCTTATATAAATATTGGAAATCACACTAAAACTGACCGAAGACCGATTTTTACTTCGTTTGGAAAATAAAAGACAAATATACTTTTTTTTTTAATTGGGAGTACATTTTTACCAAATACTTATTATGATTTGATCAAATTTATTTATTTTGTTTTATATATTATAAACTTTGTTTATCTCTTTTTTGTATTCAGGTTTATTTTTGCTTTTATACTTTTAATGCGTAAAGAGTGCATATTCAAAATTTCACAGAATGATTAATGCATATTTAGAAAGTAGGTAATATAACATAATTATTTGCTTTTATATGTAAAAAAAATAAATACATATTCACAAAAAATAATTGATATTGCTCACTGACATTTCATTAATGTAACATCATAATGTTCATAATTGTATTTGAATTTTTTTTGCAAAATTATTTAAATTGTAGAAGTGATGTAATATTGAAAATTCCTGTTTCAAATTTGTCAAAATATTTGTTCTCAACATGTAGTTTGGACCAAATATAAATATAAAATTTAGCTTTAATAGTAAAATTATAATTTTTAGTAGGGAATCCCAATTTTGGGAAGATTTAATAGTGAAAATCGGTCACTAATCGCCTTGCTTCTTTTCATTTTATAAAAATTAACATGTGCACATCTTTTAAACACTTTGGAAGGAATATATACTTTTAATTTTAGAGCATGACGTTTCTCTCACTTATGCGTGGTGTTATTCTTTTGATACTACCGCTTTAGATACAAACGATATTGACAATTTCCCTCTTTTTCCCTTAGATATTTTTATGCCATCCTTTTTACGCCTTCAAAGCAATATTTAGCTAGTGATTAGGTTCTAGTATTTTACTTTAAGTATGCTACTGACTAAATATTTTATTTTTTAATAAAATTTTGTATTAAGATAACAACGGCACACAAAAGTAGTCACACTTATCGAAAATATTCTTGTTACAACCTTGTAGAAATATGTTTCTGTTATCATTTTGACAAATTAAAGCGAGTAATTATTTTAGCTCGATATAGAAATTTTTGGGAATAGTAATAATTGAAATAAATTTGATGAGATATCGGAAAATATGACTACTTATGTGGCGTGAAACTTGTAATCTGTTTTTCATTACTAAATGTAATATATTTCCTTAATCGTACGCAGGGTGATTTCTCTTTAAATTGTAAAATTATGGGAACGGATTGGTTATTGACAAATAAATTTACTTTGCTGTAGTAAAATTTTGTCTCGGGGAGAGCATTAAAGTTTTTCAAAAAATGTAATGTCTCAGTATTATTTTTTGAGGAAAAGTGCCACTTACTAGGTATTTTCTCTTTTTATTTTGAAATTAAAAAAAAATCTCAAAGCTCGCGAGACAAAATATTCAATTTTATATAAATTGGGTAAATGAAGAAGAGGGATAATTATTAAATAGTCGACAAATTGTAAGAGAAGATTATTTGATCAATTTTGAATTAAAAAAAAATCGGATGATCTTTTTTGCAAAACAAGTTACTACTAAAGTTACATTGTATTATGAAGGGCTTGGTAATGTTAATGAAAGTTAAAAAATCTAATAAATTTATAATGGTGCGTTTTTCAATAAACTGAGAAATATATTTTTAGTAGTGAAAATTTTTCAAAATATTCTGTGGCGTCGCTTCCATTGAATTTTTTCTTTTAATTAGATGAATAATTATGTTTTTATAATTTTTTTGGTTTCAATTCACTCAAACTCACCCTTTAAAATTTATCAACATACTCAATTAACACCTTGTATTGGTTTTTTGTAAAAATTTATTTTCTCATTATTATTTATCGGTGTTAACGGATCGATCTAATGCTGTGTATAATTGTTCTGTTTCGATCACCAATGAATTTGTAGAGCAACATAAGAAGGATCTATATTTCCACAAAACAAAAACGAAATAGCTTGTAAACATCACAAGCTTAAAAATAGTAAGGGGTTGCAGATTTTGGATAGTACCATCTAAATTTGTTACTTTTTGTTTTAAAAAAAAAACTAGTAAACCTTTAACGACAAAGAAATAGGGGGTGTACCCTGGTTGCATGTCATTGGAAACTAAAATGGTACCAACTAACTAAAAGACTACCTTTTAAATGAAGGGAGTTTAAATACAAGTCGTACCAAATTTCATTCAAATTCATTATAGATGTGAGGGTTGCTTTTGGCGTGCAGCAAAACAGAACTCTCTCTCAACGGTAAGTAAAAGTGTAGGGAAAAATATATGTTGTCAGGGCAAGGGTTCGCTGAAGAGTCTTCCTGGTGTGGAGTCGTTCGCAGGTATAAGTATCTGGTCCTTGGCACCAATCTGCCATAGTCCTCTTCCGGGAATCATATCCCACGTTACACACTGTTTCTTGACTCTTGCAACGGTTAGGCCGTCAGCGTCAGGCTGGCGCTCTTGACATAATACTTAAAATGGGTCACTTGCGAACATGTGTACCCACGGATTGTTGAGATGTAACAAACATATTCACTTTTAGAACATGGCAAAAGCTTAAAGAGCAAAGTAAGCTTATTTTTCAATAACCGATTCCTGTCTTTTCAGAATATGAAACAAGGCCACCCTGTATTGCATGTCACATGCGTTTTCTTACTTAACAATAAAACAGATTAAAGTTGTAACTCAGTTGCGAATGAAGTGTCGTGTGAATGATGAGTGAGTGACACAAAGAGCGTATCCCTTATTCACCACAGTTTTGACGTATGACGATGGACAAGGTGAAGACGAGGAGGGCAGCCTACCACATCTCGGTGGATATGGAAGCAAGCTGCCTCCGGGCATCCTACCGCACGGTCTGCCCCAGGTGAAAGAAGTTCAGCCTGCCGTGACGGCTGTGGAGCAGGAACAGAAGAAGGAAGAGTTAAAGGAAGGTATAATTTTTATCGTGCTATGGTGTGTGTGGAAGTATTGAGTTTTGTTTCCTTTTCATGTCCGTCAGTGAGGGAACTTAGCGAAGAGGAGAAGCAGATGATAATCCTTTCGGAAGACTTTCAACACTTCATGGATAAGTCGGGAAGAATTATGGAAAGGGCTCTTTGTGAGAGCGTCGACATATACATGGATTACACAGGGTGTTTAGGAGAAGAGGCGCTGTGAGTAAATTTGAAAATTTTGTAGGCTTTTTTTTTAACTTTTATTTAATAAATGTTATTGAGTTCTCACCAAAAAGGGTGCAACTTTAATGAGTGTTGATTGAAAAAGGTGACAGCAAGCAACACTACACATACAACCGAGTTTGGGAACTGACCAGTTTTTTAAAAAATAATAATTTCAGATTAGTATACCGGGGAACACATACCCTAAAAAACTGACCCTCCTCTTAAAGCTTCACCCTGTATAAACATAATAAAATTCGTAACAGAATAATTTTGCCTCAAAGGAACTTAATATCCATTTGGATTTTAAAGGGATGAAAAATCTCATCAAAGGATCTCGTTAAACCGTCACTTTTTCGACGAAAGATGGTCGAGAAACCGTACCGTGACATCACTGGACTGGTCTCCTCAATTTCCCGAACTGCTGTTGGCTTCCTACAATAACAACGAAGAGTCGCCCAACGATCCGGACGGTGTCGTTTTAGTTTGGAATACTAAATTCAAAAAGACCACACCTGAATATATATTTCATTGCCAAAGCGCTGTGTTGTCCACTACGTTTGCCAGGTTTCACCCTAACTTAATACTAGGCGGAACATACTCTGGACAAATAGTATTGTGGGATAACCGTGTCCAAAAGAGGACTCCAATTCAGAGAACACCGCTTTCTGCATCAGCACATACTGTAAGTTGGTTTCTCAGTTTGTCATCTATAATATCACTTATTAGTAGTCAAAGGTGGGAATAAAGGCTAAATTTCAAAGAAAACACTCTTTTGTTACTGTATGTATTGTGACATCCTTAGGATATTTAACATATCACGGTTTTTCAGGTTGTTATAGCGTGGCCTAGGTTGCCACTAGTTAGATAAGTCTGCACTTTCTTAACCTTAGCTACACCCTGTATATTTTTAGACAATATGTTTTTATACAACTGAAAAGTATCGATAGTTACCGATCACCGAGTACTTAATAATCAACAATAGTCAATGGTATAGATATTCTCGACCTCTACTTGTCACCGATCTTATAGCACAGTAAATCTCCTCGTGACATATATTTATTAAGATATTTTAAATCGTAACAAGTTTATTGTAGTATTCTGAGGATGTCTACATATAATGATGAAACATTGATAAGTAAAAATATATATTTTTATTTTAAATTCAGCCTTAATTATAGTCTTTCCGATCTGAATTGAAGATCAAAGTGCTAAGCAGTATGTACCAGGTTCGGTCGCTACGCAACAACTCGGCACTGAAATATTTGAAAAACTTGTCCCCATATTTATCTAGCCATACCCATATACAGGTCTGATCGAACTAAATGTGGAGGTGGTGGGAATGTATACACTCAGTTGAAAAACGCGCGCGCGGGCAAACGGCGCACAAACACAGCCGCACTGGGCGACCATCCATAAATTTCAGTTGTTGACAAATTGCCTGACAATATGTAAATGTTTTTTGATGTTATCCAAATGAACATATTATAATAGAAATTTTCTACAAATTATATACAAATTATTATTTCGTACCTTTAGTAAAAAAATTTTTTTGGGACGCCTATGGAATTCGTTAAATTTTATTGCTAGGCGTTTTTATACATGTTCAACTGACTTTGGAAAGACTTTACCACCATCGACTACCAATAATGAAAATCAAGGCTACTAATTAGTAACATTATTTTTAATGTGACTCGTGTATGCATTTATAGCATCCGGTATATTGCATGAGTGTAGTTGGCACTCAAAACGCGCACAACTTAATCAGCATATCTACCGACGGGCGCTTATGCTCCTGGTCCCTGGATATGCTGGGCCAACCACAGGAAATATTGGATTTACATCGTATGCAGTCGAAGCCTGTTGCGGTTACTTGCTTAGATTTTCCACATTCCGATGTTAATAACTTTGTAGTTGGTAGCGAGGAAGGTGCCGCATATTCGGCCTGCAGGCACGGGGCGAAAGCCGGCATCACCGATACCTACGACGGTCATCAGGGTCCCATTACCGGTATTAGCGTGAACGGCGTCCAGGGAGGAATCGACTTCTCGCACATGTTCTTAACTTCGTCAATCGACTGGACTATAAAATTATGGAGTCTGAAGGTGACGATTCGAGTTGTAGGTGCAGAATAAGTTACAAGTTTTCATTTTTAGGATTCCAAACCTATCTATTCGTTTGAGGATAATGGGGATTACGTTTTGGATGTCAAATGGTCTCCTACACATCCGGCGTTGTTCGCGGCGGTCGACGGAAGCGGTAGGTTAGATTTGTGGAATTTAAATCAAGATACGGAAGTTCCCACGGCGAGTATAAACGTAGAGGGTAATCCTGCATTGAATAAAGTGTCTTGGACTCCGTCAGGTTTGCACGTTACTGTGGGTGACAACCAAGGGAAAATCTGGGTCTACGACGTTGCAGAGGTGATCACTTACGAAACAGTCATAAATTTTGTCAACTTGATGTGTTTTTTTACAGAGTTTTGCCCATCCAAGACACGATGAATGGAATAAATTTTTATACACCACCCAAGAACTGAGGAACAACCAAGTGGATGAGGAGTTAGAAAAGCTGAATTACTCGATTTCAAGTACGTCTCTGACTAGTATGGGTTCTTTAACGTCAACTCCAATGCGATAATTAGTTTTAATTTAGGTTTAAAGTAACATATTTATAATTATAAAGGAATTATTTATTACAGCTGAAAATTATAAATTGTGTCATAAAAAATATATTAGTAAAAAAAAAGTGGTAAGGGATTACTTTTCTGGGGCAACTAAAGTATCTGTAATCGTTCTAACAACAATACACGGATACCAAGGAATAAACGAGAGATAAAATAAAACATGGACTGTGAAAAAAATGATTGAGAATTGATAATAGATGTTTCTCGTCATTTTTTCGATATTATTGTATATGCTTTAAAAGAACTAAAAATAAATATTGATCTATAAAATGGAATTTTGTGTCCTAAATACCATATTTTTCTTGCATTACTTAATTTTTTTTACCTTATTTTTGTTCCATTGTGCCTGTATATAGCTATTTATTTTTTTTTATGTATAACAAAATATTTAGTACTTTTTATACTTAATTGTTACATCTGTACTATAATGTACCAGAGTGTACATTCTGTACATATTTATTACTTAATAAAACTCACCGTTAATAAGTTTTTATTTTTATTTGGCAATTTGCATTCTTCATTTGTAGTAACCTGTTCTTAGATTTGAATTCGCGCAAATTTTAATAGCTCTTAGAAGAAGAAGAAATATCTGGTTCAAATGTTTTATGTTCTTAGGTCAGTTTCAGTAAGTCGGCAAGAATATTAGGTTAAGAAATTTGTGTTGCGAACACATACTTCTATACATACAGGGTAGGAAAGTACCGATGATCTATCTGAAGTTACGTGAGAGCGATAAAGTAAGCCATAGAAATCCATGCGATAGAGAAGGCTGGCTATAATGAGGGCGTTTCATAGTCACCGCCCGTTTCGCCCTTCCACAAATAAGATCCACTTCTTATTTGTGGAAGGGCGAAATTAGACGCATTCATTATAGCCATCCTTGTCTATCACATGGATTTCTATGGCTTTATCGCTCTCACGTAACTTCTTATTCGCGAATGCTGCTAAGAGCTCGCCCTCTGGCGGTGACAGGTGATACTAACGAAACAAGGTAAACATTTCTTCTGTGTGTGACATTTCGTTTTGTATTTTATTTAAAACTGTGTTTAGTGTTCGTTTTTTAAACGCTGTTATTTTAAAAAAATAGTGTGAGGAAAACTTCAGCAATTATGGATAGAAAGAAGAAACTGTCAAACTATTATTGTTCAGTTTAAGGCTGCTCTTCATGGTCCAAGAAAAATCCAGAATTCAGTTTTCATCAAACCATTGAAGAAATTTTCAAAATATTATTGCCGATAGATAGTACTCCCTGAATTTCATGAGGGTTGTTAGTAAGTAAGGGCACTAGTTTGCAGAAACAATATAAATTTCTAAATTTAAATTAACTTTGCCCAATTTTCCCATATAGTACCATCAGCGTTAAAAACTGCCTCTCTTTCTGATATACAACTAGAGTTTTCGTTGGCATATATGTAAATAGAAAATGTATTCCACAACGGATAAGTTCATAGTTATAACCTAATAAAATGTACATTAAATTGTTATGCTAGAGACAAATAAAGTAGACATAAATACTTGCCTTACAATTTATTTATGAAATATTTGAAACCTATAAAATAACACAAAAGTCAAATAACCGCAGTTTGATAACAAAATTAATAGTAATAATGGCAAATAAGACAAATGTTCAAATGAATGTGTAAACACAAACGGCAATGTCAAAATTACCTTGTCTCGGAGCTTACTGCTTTCGCCGCTTGGTGCGCTTGCATCTTAAAAATTATCGCCGATAGGCCATCGGTACTTTCCTGCACTGTATACAAAGCATTTTGAAAGGGAATTGAAGCCAAAAAGTGGGAGTGTTGCACTTTGTGTATTATACGCACGCGCTATGATTCATTTTCCCATTGGTCGGTTTGTTGGTTAACGTCATTGTCATTTCCGAAGATAGGTTATGATTATGAATTTGAATAGAAAGACAGCTGAAAATGATTTGGCAAACAAAAAAAAAAGGAAAGGAAACGAGGCAGACCCATAAAAAACATGGGACCAAGTAGTGGCAGAAGACTTAAAGAAAAGAGGAACAAACTGGCATGAAGCGATAAATCTAGCAAAAAATAATATGAATATATATAATGAGGATTTTTATTAATTAAGGGTAATGTATTGATGAAATTGGCTAAAGCAAATTTTTACGTGTCCAATCAGTAGCTAGAAATTCCACATTTTGCTAATGCATGAGACTTCGTATTTCATGGTGAACTCTTACTGTTTTATATTAAAAGGAGGAGAGTAGTTTCCCTTTATATATATTTTGTAAATGTCACAAGAAATTATTTTTATAACCTGTGAAGTTACAAAGCCGCTATATATGATACCACATCTTCTTCATACGGCGAAAGGTCAAACATGGTTTTTACGTAATCATGTTCAAATAGAGAAACGACACTTAATGTACTTGTGTTTGGGTCACAAACTGGATCAGTTATTTTATTTGAAAAAGAATACCTAGGGACAATTTATATCTAAAACCGGCACTGATTCAATGTGTTCTAAGATCTTGACTAGCTTTGCATTGTATATTTAATAAAATAAGACCTGATATTTAGCATATGTTAGAAAATCAAATTGAATCACGAAACACTTGGGTTAATATGATTGATATGATTTATTTTTATTATTATTTATATAGTATATTTATATTATATTAGTTATAGTATATTAGTTATTATATTATATAGTATATTTATATTATATTAGTTAAGGTCGATAACTCGTTATAATTTTTATGTATATTTGTACATAGAGTATTTTTATACGAATTTTTGTGAAGATGCATTGATTTTAAATTTCAAAAAGTGTTTCCTATTTTATATAAATAAACTACTTTTATTCTCTCTCTGGATTCAGTTTTATTGTACCCATTTTATTTTACATTCACTATATAATCTCATAAATTACAATTAACAAGTTGTATGATTAGATATAAAAAATAATAATTGATAATTTTACTCTGTTAATAGTGCATCAGTTATTAAATTTCATTTGAAATAACCCGCTAAATTTTCGAGCTTGCGCAAAATTGACAAAGTGCAACATGTACACTTTTTATCTTCCTTTTTGGGAACAAGGTAATTAATGTATAAGATATGCAGTGCTTGGTATATTAAAGAAGTATGTGACTACAACATCATACTACTTAACTCGCAAAAAAAGCCTATATTCATACATTAACGAGAATTCCAACTTGAAGTTACCTACATTCTGATATTTATACATCCTGTGTCTGTGACACAACTATTCAAATCTAAGTTGTTTTTTTGCGACCAACCGACCAACCACATTTATAGATTGTTTCAAAACGTATTCAATGGTGATGTCACTCATATATTGCATAAAAGAAGAATAGTCGAAATTCAAAACGTGCAACGGAATACACGTTTTTTGGTTATTTTCTAAACTTATTACTTTTAGAGAAAGTATAGGTATTGCGCTATATAAATTTTAAATAGCAATGCTTATATGTAGTACTAATTTTCTAGTAATCAGTAAACTGCATTTGAAAAAAAATATATATTTTTAAAGCAGAATTTGACATGATGGCCCGATCTAAGTTTTTGTGTAAGAACATTCAGTTTTTTAAAAATAGGTTTTCAAATCAACGGGTTTGTTTTGATTCCGGCAGAGCACGGTTGTAGGACGGACGGATCTCAAATTAGTTGAGCAATTTACCATTCCAAATACCAGCTAAGAACTTCAACTAGTGAAGGTTTGAATTAATCTGGGGTGAAGGCTTGAGTAGTTTTCTATTCTGGGGCTTGAGATTCTCAAGTTGAGAATATAGTTGTTTTACTGTTCTGACCAGACAATGAACTGTTTAATTAAAAACTGTCCCCTGACAGAAGACAGAATTAAAACAAAAATAAACTAACAGTAAATATAGGTCATTCTGCTTGTTTGCTTTTGATTGTGTGCTTTTTTTTAGAATGAACAGAAAGTTATTTTCATTGTGCACATTTTATAAAAATTATAGATTCGGTGCCATAACTAGAAATAATTACAAAAATGTACACAGTAGTAAGTAAATTGGTTTTTTAGTCATTGTCTCATTGTAATTATATTTATGTAACAAAATATTTTATAGATATAAACTTAAAACTTAAACCACCTATTAATTATACTCGATATTCCACTCATGAACATAACATTGCCACTTATGAAGAAATTAGAGAAATTGGCAGAGAAAAATCAAAAAAAGTTTTGTTAATAGATGTTAGAGAACCAGAAGAGCTTCTCGAGACTGGAGTGTTACCATCAAGTATTAATATACCTTGTAACTAACGAAAACTACATTTTTTATATATTTTTTCCTAAAAACCATATTTTGCAGTAGGAAATTTAGAAAGTGTATTGAGAGATATGTCAAATGAAGAGTTCTTAAAGAAGTATGGAAGAGAAAAACCCAATGAACACTTTCCCTTGATATTTTCCTGCAAATTGGGCAAAAGAAGTGCAACGGCATGTGAAATTTGTCAAAGATTAGGTTTTAAAAAGTAAATAAATGTTTCTCATATTTGGTGAATATTTATTATTTTCTTTTCTTTCTAGTATAAATATAGTATAAGTATAGTTTTTTTCTTTTTAGTATAAAAAATTATGCAGGAGGATGGACAGGTTGGAGTGAAAGGAATTATGCTGAGTAAGATCACATACTTCTGTATGTGAGTAAGTATGTGAGTAAGATATAGAAACCAAGACAAATAAATGTAATTTCATATTGCAATGTACAGTTTGTGAACAAATGACATATTTTTAATTTTATTTGTTTTGATTTATGTACACCAGTAGGTTAAATTGATCGTGTTTAATTCTACGAAATAAAAATTTACATTAATATTCCACTAACAAAAATGAACATATTAATTTTATTGTATGATTAAAAAAAAGTAGAAATTTATCAACAATACCTATACCTACCTATTAAAACTTTTGAATCAAAACTATATCGATTTAGAAAAAAATATATTTTCACTATAATAAATATAGGTAGGTACTTATAATTGTTGCTATTTATAAAAACCAAAAAAAAAGATAAAAAATATTATCTAATTTGATTAAAATTTTTAATTATTTTTCATTTAATTTTATTTAGTTACATTATTATAACAATATGTAATAATTAAAATAATGAACAATTTTAATCAAACTAAATAATTTTAGTGCCAATTTTAATATTCTAAAATTAATTTCTGAATCCTTTTTCACATTAATTTTTGATGTGCTGAAAGCTACTATTCAATCGCATTTTTAAATTTTCCCGCCAAATTATTGATTATAAAGTAAGTAATTTTTCCAAAATATGAAATTCAGTTATTATTTTCTGTAATTCCATTGCAAATGGTACATAATATACTGGGTGTAACTTAAAGGTTGGGAATAAATTAAACGGTGGATTCTTTGGTTTAAAAAATAATTTTTTGTCATATGAAGTTATGCTCTACGGGTTTTCTTTTCCAAGCTACAGGGCGCTAAAAAGTTTCTCCAATAAATTTCGAACATTATAAGATAATGGAACGAAATTTTAGCCTTAGCTTAATTTGATAATCCCCTAGTTACAGGAAAAAAATTGACTTTGTAAGTTACTCAGTGGCGCGCGTACGGATTGTACCATAAGTTTTTTCAAAGAAAATTGTGGTACGCCACTGGTAAAAACATCTTTTTAATATTTGTTTATGATCTACTTTTTATTTTAAACAAGATTACCCTCTTGCGTTTTATTTCTAGCTCTTGTAATTTTTCCGTAAATAAAACTTTTGTAAATACCATTTTATCCCACTGCTAACAGAGGAATATAAAAATAACAAAAGCATTATGAAGTACGCTTTGACTCAGCCACCGAACATGGTCAAATAGGCATTGAAAAAAGATTTTTGCATTGAAAATGATATTAAAAAATTAAATTTTTTTAATTTTTTTAACACCCTGTAGCTTGGAAAAGAAAACCCCTAGAGCATAATTTTATATGACAAATATTTATTTTTTAAAATAAAAAATCCACTGTTTAATTTATTCCCAACCTATATGTTACACCCTCTGTATATAACTCAACAAAAGAATTAAAGAACTTTATGAAACCCACCTAACATATTTTAAAAACAATAAATCTTTTGCTTTCAACATTGCTAAGATACAATTAGAAATAAATAATTTATTATTCACGATGATATTTACCGGAAGAAATAACAGTTATTTCTTCAAGTTTCTTTCTTTTGTGTGTTTGTAAGTATCACCATGATTTTATGTACTTACCCATGAATTTTAACTTAAATAATTTGAAATAACCTATAGCTTAAATATACATGTGACATGTGACTCCATAGAAGAAAATAAAGATAATGAACGCAAATCAACATTAATCTCTGATGAACGGTACAAGACAGTTTCCTTGAAGAAGTGAATAAACTGAAAGATGATCCTCATTATATTCTCATAGATGTTAGAGAACCCTCTGAATTGGCAGAACAAGGGTCCATACCAGGTTCAATTAATATACCATGTATGTTTCATATATCTAATTATTGTAAGGCGACAACTTAGAAAACCATTTTCACAAAAAAACGTATAATACTTCCTACATTTATTACCTACTTCTTCAGGCCGGAAGTGTTTCTAACAATATCGATAGCCTAACGTAGATTACTATAATGTCTCCCATCATTTTATAAAAATCATGTTTGTTATATTTCCATCATTTTTAGTGAATGATTTGGAGAACGTACTAACAAAAGTCTCAGCAAATGACTTTAAAAAAACATATGGCAGAAAAAAACCTGATAAAAACTTCAATATAATTTTCTCGTGCAAGTCTGGTAGGCGGGCTCATTTAGCCCAAGAAAAGGCAATTTCTTTAGGTTACAAAAGGTATGTACATTAAATAAATAAAATACAATAAATTATAATTTGTATTATTTTAGTGTCAGTCGTTATTTGGGGAGTTGGTTAGACTGGGAAAAACACACTAAATTATCAGCTTAGGATTACCATTTTGTATTTTGTGTGCCTTGTGTTTTTCATTTTTTGTATATATCGATGACGCTGATATTTACAAATAAAGCAAATACTTAACATATGTATTTTATTATGTTTATGAAAAAAGAGTAATGTTAAACTTTAATCATTCAGAAAGTAAAATAACTCCCGCAATAAACAATTTGAATAGTATATAGTTATAATCCACTACCGTCTACGAACAACTAGCATTTTTGCACACAGGTGAACGCATTTTTTGTGTGACGAAGGCCATAAATTGATTCATACGATTTGGGTATTTTTCCTATGTTTTTACGACAGAAAAACTTAATTTGACCTAACCTAACTTTTCACTTAATTGTAGCGACTAGCCTAAAAAAATTAACGTTTATTATTAATTTAGTACCTAATTTATATATTTTATCAAAGTTCCCTTTTATTTCAAACATTAAAACAAATCATGGTATAACTCGCGCCATTATTCCATGGCTAGAAATTGGCCTCAATGATTTGGGATCGAGGGTCGAGGGGGATTATCCCTCTTTATCCTGCCTCATCTCGTGTAGGCCTGGACAGCTTTCGTAGGTGGGCCCCATCCGTCGTCTACCCCGACCGCAAATGCGGCCGGTGTAGGCGCTTTGTGGGACCTCCTTTTGTCCTGGCTGGGCCCCGCCGGCTAGGGCCCTTTCTTCTGGCGCTCTTCTTGCTTCGCCGGCTCGTCTGTGTAAACCCCGGGGGTAGTGTCATGTTTATGTGTGGTATGGTTGGGTAGGGTAGTGCGGCTATGCAGACTGGGATGCGCTTTGCTAAGGTGGCCCTTAGCCCAGCGCGGGAGGGGAGGGGAAAGGAGGGAATGGGGGGTGTGTATGTGTGTGTGTCGTTGTCTTCGTTTCTTGATCCTGGCTGTCTCTGAAACAGAAAAGGTTAGCGGGCAGGGGGGACCAAGACCGAATGAGTATCCGAGAACAGGACTCGAGAACAGCGGCAATGCAGAATCGGTCTATGTCGGCGACACGATGTTGATTCGAATGCATCATTGGGATATTTTTATTCGTACTCGCATCGATGGTAGCTTAGCAGTTAGTAATTAAGGTAAACCTCGCAACGAACGAGAGATGTGGTTTGTTTCACGGAGCATTTTCCGTTATTAAATATTAATGTTTTTAGTTATTTTATAATTATTGAATTCTTATTTTTAAAATGATGCCTGGCTGCAAATCATTAGTTTGGGATTTTATTTTAAAAAAAGTAATAAATAAATAAGTAAAAGGTTTAAATTATTTGGCAATACAACAAATCTTAAAAAACATTCAATTTTGGCCTCTAAAGCACATTCGCCTAGTGTCTAGTCCATCTATCTGCCTGTCCTGAGGGATACTCGAAATCTCATGATGAATTCTCAAGTATTCGAATGCCGGCATAAAAGTTCTCGAGAACAGCGAGAACTTTTAAGAATCGAATGGATATCGATTCTTGCTTTCGAATTGTCCCATCACTCCCATCACTAGTGTTATGTGACTCTTTCTCTGTTGTAGTTTAATTGTAACACCACAAAAATTGATCGATTTATTATTTATATTTAAATAGATATTAAATTAGATATAACTAAACTTAGCAACAGATAATTAATTTTCTTATACATTTTATACCTCGGCAACCCCAATCTAGATTTAGTTAAAATATCAAATTCAGTTGACAAACGTAGAAAGACACCATACAGTATACCAGTATTACCAGTAATATGTAGTTTTGCACTAATTTAACATTGATGTGTATAGGCATTTTATTTCATGACCAATTGTAGAAAAAGTAAAATGGATATTTCTAGTGATTCAGAAGATACAATAATAGTAGATAATGAGCCTAGTGACTCTGAAATTGAAGATATATTAAAAAAATATACTATCCCAACTACCTCTTCCTATAGTTTGAATAACTCTAATGGTAAAGGCAAATATTTAAGTGAAGAACTTTATTCTTCACATGAACAAGCGAAAATTACATGTAAGCAATATTATGAGATCAAATTGTAACATTTTCAGCTGATTTCAATGTTTCTTTTGTTAGTTGATAATTATGCATTTAAATCATTTGACGTAGAAGATGATGTTATTGATCTTGAATTGAATAATAAATCGTGTGACGAACTGGAACCACAGGAGGCCGTAGAGATAAAAAAGCAGCAGGACATTGAGAGTAAGCGAAAGGGAAAGACATTGAAGAAATCTCAAAAACTACAAGATGCTGAAATGAGAAAAGTTGCAAAAACTATAGAAAAGGAAAGAAAAAAAGAAGCGTTGCAAAAACAGAAAATGATTAAGAATGCTCTAAAAAGTGTTGCAAAAAGTATCAAACCTGAGGAATGTATTAAAGTATGTGGAATAATTTCCCGGTTTGTTGGAAATTCAGTTTTAATTGTTTTCAGTATGTAATAGTTGAGATAGATCCAGATATGTTCGATAATGAATATGGAACTATTTTAAAAGAGGCATTTCAAAAAAGAGATATAAATTTTAGAACTAAATCCCAAGTTTTGCCAAACCTTATCTCATGGAGTAGAAAAATACAAACAATAGACGATAAGGTAGGTTTACATATAAATTACCTTTATTGTAGTTATTTATGCCTGTTGTAATATCATAGGTTTTAAGGGAATCAGAAGTGAACGAAAGCCATTTCTTGTTGATTATCCACGCAACTGAATTTATGGAACATATTAAGAAAGATACTTTAACGGTTTATATAGGGAATGTTTTTTCATTAACCGAATATAAACAATTGACCGTGGTGGTTGTCGGTTTGGAGAAACCAAAACCACCTCAAGAAATGCCCATTATAGAAGTTCAAATGTCAACCAAGGCTTATTTTCGTTTCGCAGAAAACGCTGAAAGTTTAGCAGATATACTATTGGAAGTTACTAAGGCCATATCGCAAATTCCATATAAGTAAGTTCGGTATCTCTATTTTTAATACATTTTTGCAGTTTCACTTGAGACTATAATATTGTAACTGGGAAGGTGCAAGTTGGCATTTGCCGTTTTGAATTTAGCTCGTGCTTGCATGGTGTACTTGCCACCGGCTGGTAAATATAACATACATTTTTTGAAGTGCCATGTATTTTAATGTTTTAAACATCCTTATGTAAAAGTTTTTACGGAAATATTAACGTTTTTCAAAAAAAAAAGTACGACCCTCTTGGGATTCCAACCATGGACCTTCGATTTAACAGTCGCAAGTTTATAAACTGAGCTATGGCGGCCTATGGGTGAGTGAAGCCACGGGTATTTGAAAGTTTCGGTCTATGTAGATGTAAACAGAAATTTTAAAAAGTTCAAATTAAGTTTTATCACTATAATAACATCTCTGAAAAACCAGTCGGTGCGTAAAGGCAAAACAACCACTAACCGCGGTCCGAACGTCCCAGAAAAGACACCGAAGGACGAAATTCGTTTCGACGTCTTCACTGACGGTTGTCTAAACTTCAGATGCACTTCGGGTATCTCTTTCACACCGAAATAAGTTGATTTACGGCAAAGATTCTTTTAAAAGAGGAAATTTCTCTTGGAAGACGCTAAGAAATGTTCTTCAAAATATATGACGGGATAAACAATAAAAATTTAGTTGAATTTAAAGAAGTTGGATTTTAAACAAGGTTCTGAATTCAGTGTGTCTAAACAATAACAAAACTTTGGAGAAAATCTTCAATAAACTAATTTTAAGAAAAAAAAAATAAATAAAAGGTGATTAAAGTATCATGCGGTTTTAGATTAAAAAAAGAAGAAAAATATAACCATCATAACGAGTACTTTCATGATTCTAATAAAGACACTGTCAAAATAGATAAAAATGGGAATGGATTGGGCCGTTTATGGCACCAAATGTTGACGATGTTTCCATTGGCCCGTTTGGAAACTGCCGAAGCCATCACTGCTGTGTATCCCACTCCTGCTTCTCTATTCCAAGTAAGAATTTTTTAAATGAACGGCTATTTTTTATTGAACGTTCAACTTATTTAGTTTTTGCATTTTATATTTCTAACTGAACATCAATATATTTTGGGTTATCTTTTATAAAGAGTGACAGAACACCCAAATAAAGAGTTTTATTTCAAGGTGATAGAACTAAAAGTATTGTTAATTTAAACTAATTTTTAAAATATTAAAAAAAAAATTTTTAGGCTTACGAAATTTCTGAAAAGAAGGTAGACCTTCTTCAGGATTTATCTATCCGAAGGGCTCAAGGCCCCCTTATCTCAGGTAGAAGAATTGGCCCCGAACTAAGCAGAAAGTGTTATAATTTCTTTTGTGCTACTGAAAATACATTTTTATAATTAATAAATATAAATATACTTTTGTACTTTACACGTTTATATATTTTTATTACGTTTTTATCTTGCACCATGATTTAATTTTTTAAGATTTGATAAATTATATATTTCGGATTATAATCATTTAATTTGAACGAGGGAGTGAAAGTGGATTAAACAAGTTTGTTTTTATTTATCTGTATACATTAAACATCTTCAGAGATATTTGAATAAATGTCACATACATATTTTTTTAATTTTAACACTATCGAAAACCAATAATCTAAAAAACAATCGATATTCTATACCAGAAGAAAGGGCCCTAGCCGGCGGGGCCCAGCCAGGACAAAAGGAGGTCCCACAAAGCGCCTACACCGGCCGCATTTGCGGTCGGGATAGACGACGGATGGGGCCCATCTACGAATGCTGTCCAGGCCTACACGAGATGAGGCAGGATAAAGAGGGATAATCCTCGATCCCAAATCATTGAGGCCAAATTCTAGCCATGAATAATGGCGCGTGGCGCGATATTCTTTAGAAAACTTCGGAAACTGCCCTGTATAATCTAATCTTTATCTGCACCTCTCTGTGTGGTTTATGGTGATTGGACACAACCCATGGGGTATTATGTTTTGAGCAGAAATAGAATAAATGGAAATAAGGTTCCGTTTTGTAATTAGCTTCAGTCTTAGAGCATAGACTAGTGGAGGCAGCGTTCCGGTGGCCGGGAGTGTAGCGTAGGTCTTCCGCCCACAATCCAATATTTCTGGATCTGGGGCGAAGACAGAGATATGAAGGCACCTTCACGAGGAGGTTCACTGACTGGGAGCGCTTCCGAACAGTAATGCAAGGAAACATGGCGCTCCCAGTCATCGAAACCACCCATGATCTGGAGGCGGCAATCCTCTCCCTTGAGACTGACATTAAAAACGCCCTGACTCAGACTACGACGGAGACTATTGTCCCCCGACTGACAAACCCCCGGGGCACCCTCCCCGATGACATAAAAAACTTAATACGTGACAGACGACGTGCGAAACGGCTTGCCACCCGCACCCGCCTCCCCCGACACAGACATGACTTAAACGTACTTAACAGACGGGTGAAGGCGGCTCTGGATGAACTGGCCCAGGATAACTGGGCTAGGCACCTGGAGTCGCTGGATCCACAAGACAACAGCCTCTGGAAAACGCAGAGGGCCCTGCGACAGACCGCTCGCCGTAAAATTCCTCCAATCCACGGTAGTGTGGGGGTGGTTTACACGAACCAGGAAAAGGCCGAGGCTTTCGCCGATAGCCTGGAACTGCAGTGTAGACTGCCTCAGCTGCCCGACGAAGACGAGGAATTCGAGATAGTGGCTGAGCGCGCGGCCCGACGCGTCGACAGAGAGCCAGACAATGACATAATCCCCCCCGCAACACCTGACGAACTAAGACTGACAATACGCAGACTTAAAAACAGAAAAGCCCCCGGACCCGACAATATACATAACACGACACTTAAACGACTACCACACAAGGGCCTCATGGCCCTACTAAACATAACAAACGCGACACTCAGACTAAGACACTTCCCTACCCGCTGGAAAACAGCAAACATAATCCTTATCCCAAAACCCAACAAAGATCACACCATCCCATCCAACTACCGGCCCATTAGCCTGCTCCCGGCTATGAGCAAAGTGGTAGAAAAAATTATCCTAACCCGTCTAAGAACCCACTCCCAAGAACTGCAAGTCATTCCAGACGAGCAGTTCGCCTTCCGACCCAATCACTCCACTGAACTCCAAATCCTTCGCCTTACCGAGCACATCACGGCGGCCTTCAACAGGGGACAGTACACTGGTGCTGTCTTCCTGGACGTCGCAAAGGCCTTCGATACGGTTTGGCATGAAGGCCTACTGATGAAAATGCTCACCAACCAATATCCCATATCCTTTACCAAACTCATAAAATCCTACCTACACCACCGAAAATTCCGCATCCAAATCCAAGATTCCCTTTCCACCACCCGTCCCATGGAGGCCGGTGTCCCCCAGGGCACCGTCCTGTCCC